TATAAGAGACGCCATAGTGGAGGGCTCCAAAAATTTCAACCACCCAAGGTTCTTAAAATGTTTACCTAAATCCAAGGACACGAGTCTCAAGCTTTTTCGCCTCCATCAAAAATACGGCCGCCGCGGCCGTGATTTGATTTAGGACCCGCGGATCAGCAGCCGAGTGCCTTAGCCACTAGACCACCATGACGGGTTTATGAAACTGCACTCACTGAAAAACAAGCATGAATATAACAATGTAAACTTAAAATGTTTCTCACCAATGTTAGCATAAAAATAAATATATGCTTAAAATAAATAATTATTGTAACATCTCTATTGCATTTGATGAAATGCAGTTGAGAGTTCAGCTTGGTGTGAAAATGAACACTTCAGTTATGAACCACATGAAAAACCCACAACATGTGCATAAGTTAAATTTGATGTAATGTTGCAAGGGTGCCTAAGGATGCTCTGCACTAGGCACAAGGTGATGAAATTTCAGCAATAAAATCAAGCGTATGCCACAGCAGTGGCATAGCCAAAGGGTGGCACAATAAGCCCTTGACCCCCCTCTCCCACTCACCTTCCTAAAAAAATATCTGCCTATGCCTCTGCGACAGTAGTGCTACGTTTCACTTGCCTCCATATTTAGTCAAGGCTGAAACAGCAGAATTGAAGAAAACAAGCTTGCTTGTCGAAACACTGGCTCCAGCAACACGCAGTGTTCACGAATTGTTCATCTCTTCATGCTTTTTGTCGTTTCCAACAACAAAAAGTTATGATAGCAGGGTATCTAGTTTTTTAGCATGTATACATTCATTTATCCACCATGGTTTTTTGTTTGTTTTTTGCTTACTTATGAAGGTAGTGAACTGCAAAGCAGCCTGTTCTGCTGTTGAAGTTATGCTGGCAATGACACTGTCATTCAATTCATCTATGCTCAGTCGATCAATGATCTCTTTTAAATGCAGCTGTTTCAATGAATAGAGTCCTGTTTGCTAATTCAAGCTTTCAATGCAGCCGTTCCCAGGGTATGATTAGAGGTGCAGATGTTAGCTTTACTACAGCAGGCATGTGGTCACTACTAGTACGGTTATCTACCAATTTTCACTTAAATCGGCAAAAATGGATGGATAGCACAGCATTGAATCTAGGCAGCTTATAGCTCCTGTGCTCGGGAAGCTGCACACCTAAACATCAGAGTTTAAATAGTGCAAGTCCTTAGCAATTATAAAATGCCTAAATATCTGACCTTGGGAGTCAGTTTTCTTTGCATCTCCATATTTGCATTACGAGTCAAGATCATCTGCGATGACAAACATGCTCAGGTGGCTGGGTCTAAAATAAATTTTAGATTTGTTGCATTAAAGTGAACGTGGTGGTATATGTAACAAATCATGAAATAAATGGTTACTGCATGCTAAAACGGTAATATCAGCAGCCTCTACGTATGACTATCAACAGTCACTTCTCTAGTTCTGAGGCTACTGTGTGCAATAACATCTTCGTCACCCAACAAAATTGTGGTGCAAGCACACTCGCACTAAATGACATTTCATCCAAGATGTTGGCGTGCTTATTTGCTTATGCAGATGTAATGCCAAAGGAGAGGAGTTGTTTAGCATGTCTTTTGTGCCGCCTAAATAGAGTGCGAGTCCCACACAATTCCAAAGAGTAATAAAAGCCATGTTAAGGATGAAAGGTGATAACTACAGTGAGAACTGAATGGATGATTGGAGCAATGTTAGGAGACATGCCTGACAAATGAGTAGTGTCACAACGAACGACGATCTTCCAGGTTATTGCTATCTCTTTGACCGTGGCTACTGAGAACCTATTTTTCTTTGTAATCCTAAGAGAGCGCAGCTCTTTTGGCATCGACAACACTGTGGTTTTTGGGTTGACTTTTACCCTTCTCGCGAAGGTGCTGCAGCATCAAAAGTTTGAAACTGAGGCACATGTCTCAGGCTTTGGTCTTTGAATGGTCATATGGTCCCACAGAACGTCTGTCTGTGGTCCCTTTGGAAATGAGCGAGCAGCACTGGCAGCCATTATTAAGGGGATGAAAGGGGTCATTACGGGGCCACTCTGCTTGAACCCGAAGATCTGCCAATGCCCCTGTGATGATGCCCTTGCCTGCACCGCACCAGCACAGCTTCAGTAGAAAGGTGTGACAATAATTTTCTATGTCATGTAATATATTCATGCATAAACGTGAAGGAACAATGTGAAATGTCAAGGGGCCAAAATCCAGTCAAGCGCAACCTCGGGTGGCTTGGCTACTTGCTTTCTCGGCTGCTTCGTTGTTTTCTCATACTGTTCACTACACCTAGCTTTGTGAGATCGGCCTTTTTCTCTTACTGTTTAGAGCGATAATTTCAATCTTCCAGCAAGGACAGAAACAGGGTTAAGCTGGGTGGTCGCTTTACATTTGAGACAATGTGTTGAAAAAATACAGTTGCGGGATGGGTGGCGTTGGATCTGCGTTCTGAACATATTGATTTGTCTCTACATGAGTGAGAAGTATGTCCAAGATTTCACCATTTGAATCACCGTCAGCTGTTTGGAATACACAGCCTCACATAAAACTTCCCCGTACCCTGCCTCAAGAAAGATAGACGTTACACTTGCAGTTCCAAAAATATAACACGTCTTGCCAGGACTTCTTGATCGTTGCAGCACCTAATATGGAATATGTTACCAGCTGATTTAGTTGGCCACAAGACTGTGGATTCATTCTATGAGGCACTGTGCCCCCCGCAATAATGCCTAAGATGGCGCTGCGGGTAATCTTCCAAATAAAAAGAAAAAACACTTTGCTCTCGGAAGCCTTCGAGAAGTTCATCACCAAAAGATAGGCCATCTTGTTCAGATACTACATTTCTGCTTGTGTTTAGCAATTTATGAGCTGATGTTTTGACTGTAACCTCACTGGTATGAATTGTTCAGAGATTTCTGGTGCTTCACCTTATATTTTAGGTTTAGGAGAGATTCCCCATTTGCATTTTTGAAGCCCTGTGCATTTGTCTAGTTTTTTTCTTTTCTTCAAGGATTTTTACGACTAAAAATGAGGAGAGCTTTCGTAGTAAGATGCTTTCGCTGTGAACTCTGGTGTTTCCAAAAGGTTTGTACATTGCTCCTCGAGGAAAAACTGAAAATCTGCCACGATGTTTCCCCTTTCAAGAGGTCAATAAAAACAAAGGAATGCTGTGAAGCCACAACATAGCGCGTTATGTTCACCAGCAGCGTTGACAGCCCACCCCCGAGTCCAGCAAAGAGGTCACAACAGATGTTGCATGAATTATGCATGATGGCAGTCATATGCCACCCCTATCGTCAAACGTGGTATAACCAAGACTAAAGGGACACTGAAGAGAAACATTTGACTCGGTTTAGATTGACATACTGCACTCGAAAAACTCCAATGGCATATGGCTTAAGTTCGTTACTAGCGGGAGAAAATGAAGGCTCAATCAAGTATCATTTTAATATTTCGTGCCGAAACCTTCGCATGTGACTCCAGAAATTTCAAAATGTATTTTTAATATTTTCACAACATTGGCTCAATTAAATTTTCTCAAACTTCGTATGCTAGGTCTATGGCACCCACAGATGATTTGTACTTCAATTTTACCAATGAGAAGCTATGTAGACCCCAGTAGACTCCATCAAAATTTATGACTGTTGCATCCCACATTTTCTTTTTGGGACATTTTCTTTTGTAATATTGTTTTGCTCTTGAGTGTCTTTTTAATAGCCACACAATGTCAACCTTAGTCACCAGGAAAACTAAATAAATAAAAAAAGGAGGACAAGAAAGAAAGTGAGAGAAAAAGACAAGCATGTGGGGAAAGAGCAAAAGGAGACCATCGATTAGCCCCAGGTGGCAATTCCCCCCATCCTTGTGATGATGTTTGTATAGTACACGGTCTAAAATGTGTTGTCTTCACCACGGGGCCTCAAAGATTTAAAGACATAGAATAGACCCAACTGCTGGAATCTACTCCTACCCAAACAATCCACCCCCCTTCCCCTCATTAGCTCAGGTCCGTGGTGACACAACTCACCAAACGCCTGCATAAGCAGACGCCCCTGCGGCGCTGCTTGCGTTGATGATGCTACAGCACTTCGCAGAGTTTAATGAGACGTTGTGCATGAGAATGCTGTCGAAGACTATGCAACAGTTTACCGTTACCGTTCTTACATTCGTTAGAGTGCAAGAAGAGAGTGCTATGCAACGCAAGATGCTGTAAGCCATTCAGCAGGATTAATGAGAGCATAGGTAAAATCCTTGCTCCTGGGGCGGCAACCAAGAACAATAGCCAGTTGTCTGAAACTGAGCAACGGTGCAGACAGCGAAGCCCAATTGCCGATTCTTACCAACAAAGACCCCTTTGCACATTCACATACTGATTACACTTTTTTCAACACCATGACAAGTGCATGTGCTTCACTGAAATTCATTGCGTTTCACCACATAGCACAAATGTACAACAGCAAAGCCTGCTACAGAAAACTGGCCATTATGCAATGTTTTTCTAGTGGCTTAGAAAAAAGCAGTTAATAAAAAACTGACATCAATCACAGGCCCTTCAAACATTGCTAAGGTTCGTTTACTTAGGAATCAGAGCCAACCTGACCAATGTGAAACTCTGCCTCAAGAAGCGTGCTTGTTCTCGCTCATCCATACCTCTCATAGGTCTGAATGTTAACATCACGGGACAGCATATTCCGAATAATCAAAGTGTAAATAGTGTGCAGGAACAGCATAAGAGAAGAGCCATAAAATGAAACCATAGCTATTAAATCCAAAAACTAAAAGCAAATTGTGTATACTTCTGGGTCGAACCGGTTACTTTCAACTGCCTTCTCCAGCCCTGTTAGCCTATTTGTCTAAGATAAATCCTTGAGGTTGAATGCAGATTCAAGACATCAAGCATAAATAGCCCATTCTCAAAAAAGGAAGGGCACAGCTGTGTGAAGCAGACAAATTTTTCAAGTGAGAACACTGCATGGCATAACAATGGATTACTACTTTATTTCCAAAGTGGGGAAAAAAAAGAGATAATAGGAAATGAAGTGCATCGTATGAACTGTCGTGTGCATGCACAAATAGCTTCAGAGCAAAACAATAACTTTTATAGAGATGAAATATTTCAATGCAAATATAATGACACAGAAGGTAAAAGATAGAACACTTGTACAACCACACACACTACATATGTACCTGCACAGTGATATATGTCACAACAAGAAATGTAAACACAGCTCATCAATAAGAAAGCACAAAATGAAACACTTGCACAGAAATGCAACCAATAACAAAACCACACACTGACCACTCGTAAGAGTGTCCAACCACTGCAAGGACATACTGTACACAAAATCAAACTTGTCACGCACAAAGGAATGTATACCATTATGTTCATCACACAACAAAAAATTAACAATGAAAACATTGTGGCTTATAACAATACACTGTGTCCCATCAAACAGTGGAAGTCCTTTCAAAAACAGTTCGTGTGTGCCTGCAGTAAATATCGCTTTGATTTCACGGTGGTTGCAAAAATCAGTGGTAAAAGACCACTACCGGTTTGATTGCCACTAAGTCTGCACCACAGGTTGGCGAACTCACTCCTGAGTTGACTTACTCGAACTCATTCAGACTCAGAATGAGCTATAAGTCTTATAGAGTCCTGGCAAGTAATATTTTCATGAGTTTGAGTTCAAGTGATTTCGGTTAAAAAAATTTCTGTGAGTGTAAAAATTGCTGCTGCTACCACCGCGCGAGGGCAGGGGCCGGCCTCCGCCGCGGCTGCGGTCACTGTTGCTGATCGGCGGCGTGAGCTGCGTTGTTGCTGGGAGGTGGCACTCGCCAGCGACGAGCTGGCCAACTAGCTTTGGGCGGTCCCGGCAAGCTGAAGATGTCACCCGGGTCCAAGGACTTCGAGCGGTCACCTGAGGCACCGCCATCATAATCGAACAGAGAGTGGGAAGAGACAGAGGTTAATCCTCTCTTCCCTTCCCCCCTTGCCCGGTGAAAATTGCCAGGCTTTAAATAAAGTTTATTCATTCACTTCATACAGTGTAAGTCCCAGCGAAGTCAGCACAAAATTTTGGTGAGTGAATTCAAAGTGCAAGATTAAGTTTTTTGCGTGAGACTGAGTGAGTTACATGTTATTTTGCCGACCTATAGTCTTCACACAGAGCTAGCGAACTGCAACATGCTCAGTTTCGTGTAACAGGCTTTTTACAGCAGCAGTGACAGTAGCACCAGTGTTTCAGTGCAGTGAAATAAACATTGATGTACACTGTTAGTTTTGTCTTCATCATTAATGAAACAAAAGGGCACAACTGGCAAACATGATGGGAAACTACACCCAAGGCCGAATGATAGCTAGTCATAATTTGGCAGAGAATCGGTCACTGTTTTAGCAGGCAAAATCATATGTGCATAGAATGCATTACACACAACACTCAGAAAATCATGCACTATTAAAGGGCCCTGAATAATCTTCTCTTGAAGCATCAAGAATTTTATAGAACTACGTAGTAGAGTAGATCTCAGATATTTAATACTGCAAAAAAAGTTTTTTGAGACTCCGGAGACAATAGAGCTAAATGAAGATACATGCTAAATGTTGTACATTATGAGATAGGGGGTAGTGGATACTGTCTGTGGGTATCAGTGAGTTGACATCAACTGACGTTTCCCCCCTGTTGGTTGCCCATGCTGTTTGTAAAAGAGCGTGCTTTAACTCTGCGCTTAGTTTACACCACTACTGGTATGCAAATACAAAATTTGGCAGCGATATTCACAGCTGCCACATATCTGCGACAAGTGTTTCCTCGTCATGCCTGAAAAATGGTCCACAGCCCCTTTAGATTAGCAGGCTCTGTGTGAAGATGATACTTTAAGTGCACGACGACACATGCAGATAACTTAAAGGTGACCGTGTCCACAAATGCATAAGGTACAGCAGTGGTGAAAAATGGTCAAACAAATAATATCACAGGAGGCAACGATTCGACAAGAGAACACGTAAAATTGCAGACTCCAGTGATGTTCTTTATTTAATGATAACTAGGGTGGCTCGTTGGGCTAGTTAATACTGCTTCTTAGAAACATTACAGTGCACACCGACAGGGACAAAACAAGGAAACACACGACACAGCACTTTGTCTCGTGTTTTCTTCTTTTGTCCCCGTCCACGCACGCTGTGACGTTTCTATGACAATTACTCACTACTATAACCCCCTGAACTTCCAATAAGTTCAGCAATTTTCAAGGATGAATAGTGCGAATTAGTCTTATCGCACGAGGAAACTGCAAGGGTCGAGAGAAAAGAAAGACGCCATGAAGCAAGCGCAGCAATGTTTCAGCCATTATTTAGCAAAGTGTCGTGACCTGTGCTCCAGCATGGCACGACAGCTATTGAACCATTTGAAGCAAGTTTTGCACTGGACCTTTGTGTCCCCGTGGCCGTGCTTGGTGAGGTGCATGTTGAGCGCCCTCTTAGTTGGAAATGAGAGCGAGCAGAGGCTGCATCTGAACGGGCACTCGCACTTATGGTGAAAGCGCATGTGCAGCTCGAGCAGTCGAAAGTTGGTGAACACCTCGGAGCAGCGGTCACACTTGTGCGGACAGTACGTCGGGTGGATGTTGAGGTGTGCTTCGAGGAGCTCCTTTGAGGCAAATGCCTTGGAGCAGAGGTGGCAGCTGTGCGAATGGGGGCTGGGCACTCGTGATACTTCTCCGCTACTGGGGGTCATCAGAACCACCATGGGAATCTGGCTGCTTTGTCCAGTGGCGGCTAACATGGTAAGAGAAGAGACAGGATGTGATTACAAGGTCTGATTACAATGATGTCAGATTACAATGATGAGAGACAGTATGTGATTACAAGGATGGGTTACAAGTAAAGAATAGTGCAACAAGATTAAACACAAGAGAATTCAGACGTTTGTTTTTGTTTGTTATATACAACATTAAGGAGAACAGACGTTCCAGTGGGCAATAAAAAAGTGCTACATACTTACCTAATGCTCCCCTAATTATACACTACCATGGTCACCGAAACTGCCAGGTTTCTAGGCACAGATATACTCAATAAAGAGGACTGTAGGACAACAGCTGACGCAGCTCAATCGGCCGAATATCAGACGTGTTATTCAAAGGTTGGAAGTTAAGTACGTGCCAGTGGCAAGCCACCTTTTCATCCCCTTTAATTTCATCATATTTATATTGTAGTTACTACAAATTATGTCCCTAATACTTTCCTTGGCTCAATTGCCTGTCAATTCTTATCACCCTCTGAGTGTCAAATGTTTCCGAAAAAAACTTTCACAGAACGGTCAAATTATTTACTGTATTTTTCTCATCTACGAAATGTGTAAAGGCAGCGGAAAAATTATTGAAAAGGTCAGGAACCATATTTTGGTGTCAGTGTCAATTATATTTGCATAATTTTTTATTGTACTTCAGAGCGTGATATTGCTTCAGACACACGTCTGCACACAGCGCCTTATCACAGCTGCACACTTCAAATGTGTGTCTGCTCTCTCGCATTTGACGAGCAGTGTTGGCATACACAGATGGCATCCCATCTAAGCGCTGCTGCTTTGGCAGAGTAAGTTCGGTAATCATCAAGAAGAACAAGCATACCTAAGGAGTGTCGGCAATAAACAAGCTAGCAGCAGTGCGAATAATAATGTAAATCAACTTCCATTGTTAAGAGAGTGCCGATAGCGATAAAACAGAGTTTCGCATGATCCCTTTGTGATCATGTGGCAAAAGTGAAACCACGAAAGGGTACTGCACACTGGTGTTACCTCTAGTCGTGCGATGAACTAATGTTAGAAATTAGTTCTGTTTACCTCTGCAAGAAGGCAGTTAGCACAATCATTTCCAACACTTAGAGGCTCGTATGCGAGAAGTATGGTGAATTTTAAAACGATGTTTTCTACACTTTAGAACTTGCACGATACTGCTATTAAAAATCTTTCTACTATTTAAGTTTCTTCCATCCTGCTTTTAGTAAAAAATGTGGCATTCACACATGGCCATTTACAATTCTTAAAAACAGTAGAGTCATGGAAATGATTATTATTTATCTTTATATTATGCTATACATACTATTCAAACTACATGATTTGAAATGGTTTGACCAAATCCTTATTTGCTTTGAGCCTCAAATGTAGTATTTGCTCATTTGTATTGATAAGAATGAAAAGTTGCAAAGGATTCCTGCACATAAGCTTATGAGATGAGAATGAAAAAGCTTTGCAGCAGAGATTGTTTTATCCTCTGCTGCGACTGCACACTTTTGCTGCTAGGGTTGGAAGCCCAAAAACAAAAATAAAGCAAGAAAGACTTTAAAAACTAGTGAAAAAGTAGCCAAATTGAGCCAAAAAAGAAAAAGTAACCAAAGCAGCCACAATCTATTTTGAAACGACATTGGCGTTTTTCATTAATGTCTAAATGCAAAAGCATTTCGATGGAATATGTAAGCAGAGAACGAAACGATTAAAGATCACGTTTGATGAGATCGAAGCGTAAACTCTTGCTCGAAAGGCGTGGTGCAAGCTTAAAAACAAAGAAGAATGAGAAGGCAAGCAAGAGTGCCAAGAATTGTTACTTGAACGGTACACTAACTGGCCCAACATAACGTGCTGAATTCTTGACTAGAGCAGATATTTTGTGCAGGATGACGAATGGTTCAGTTATCCTGGCTTATGCAAGTGAGCTATTCATTTAATTAGAGCCAATTAATTATCAGTGTAGTCCCAGACCTCAATTCAACTTTGGGAGCCGATCCCATCTAGGCCACAACGTTAGCACCATGAACTCGAACGCCAGCAACTGCAACGTAATGAGATATTGATAATTTGGCTCTAAATAATTAGAAAGAAAGCAGCCAGAAATTAACCCAGCATCCGCAATGTTTTTTTTTTTTCTCGCTGCCAGTGTTGCAAAAAGTAGTCGAAGTGGAACAGCATAGCGAAACCTGGCCACCCTAGTTGCTGCAGCACATTGGAGTGTGCCACAGCAACCACGACGATCAGCTGTCTACACGCTTTCACTGACTTTGCTCAGAAACGCTTTCAAAAATGATTCGACTAGTTTTAATCGTATAAAAGGTAAAGGGACGAATCTGTAACGCTTTCCTTAAGTAAAATTTTTTTCCACTGCTGCACGTAGACATCAGGACTGTGCTTTTCAGCGATCGTGGGTAAGTAACCTTTATGAAACCAAGAACAAATATTTCATGCATTTTTATATCTGGTGTCGATAATACGTTTAGTTTAATTTCTTTTTGCTCTGTAGAAATTAAAAAAAATAGTAGTTCTATTGCATGCTTAATAGCTAAAGTCCTAATTTATGGTATTTTATTTCTCTTTTTCTGAATTTCAAGAGTAGTAGCTCTAGCATGAAACAATGAATTTTTGTTTCAGAACTAGAGCTGTCAGTTATTGTGTCAAAGTGTACTCGAAGGAAAAACAAAGCAGTTTCTTGCATAGCCTAACTACAAAACAGGCCTCCATAAATGTTTTTTCCAAATTTTATGGGCATTGTTACATTGCAAGACATCCTTTGTGACAGAGAAGGCCCTTTTTGTCCTTTTTTTAAGGATGCGGTACGAGTGGAGATGAGACCAATAATAATAAGAACAACAATAATATTGATTATTATTATTATTATTATTATTATTATTATTATTATTATTATTATTATTATTATTATTATTATTATTATATCTGGGTTTTAACGTCCCAAAACCACCATATGATTATGATAGTCACTGAAGGGTAGGACTCAACCATGAAACTTCCACTACCTAGGGTTCTTTAAAAGAGACCCTGAAATACTTTTTTAAGTAACCATGGCATGGATTCACTAAAAAAGCTTATTGCCTCATGAATTCAAAGCTGCAAAAACTGTAAGAATCTGTCTAGTACGAGCAGAGTTACAAAGAATTGTCACATGCTGCAATCGCATTCTCTCTTATCTTGTCCCAGCAAAAGCGCTGGAGGCTAAGCAGGAAGGGATGGCAGGGGAAAGAAAAATACGTCATGCGTGCCTCGTGACTGAGCACTTTTTTTGTTTTTTTCGAATGCACGGCTTTTTTCGCGTAATACCACGTGTACACGTGGACAAGTCGCGGCCTCCTGTGTGAGATCCCTGTAACGCGTGAGCGTGCCATGTTTAAATCAACCAATGGCTGATAGATAACCTTCTATGCGCATTTTTTGAGCATATTCCATCATTTCTTGAAATAAGAAAAGCAATTTTTAGCTGACCTTGATAATTTATTGTGATTTCCAGACCGCGTGCTCCGGTATGATATTTGGGTCGTGTGTCTTCAGGAAACTTTACTACCCATAGGCAGCGTTTTCTGACCATGCTCAAAAAGTGTTGCAGGGCCCCTTTAACGTGCACCCAAATCTAAGCACACGGGCCTCAAGCATTTTTGCTTCCATCTAAAATGGCAACGAGACCAAGAGCTGTGGCTGAAGCATTCCTGAAATTGAGAGCCATGAAAACAGAATGACGAGATCAATGATCAAGATAACCAGGAAGCGAAAGAGAGTATGAATATAGTACAAGATATCAGAGAAAAGTCAATAACTCAGACCTGGATGGAGTTCACTAATGCATTCGCAGAAGTCAGCCCACTCAGTAACACCCAACTGATGTGACTTGCCTCGAATCATAGCCGCAATTTTATTCAAGTGCTGAAATTCAGCCAGGTTCTCCACTTCTCACATATCACGAAGTCGCACAGTCTTACATAAGTAAACGACAGCAATACCGATTCCCACAAGAGTCCTTCACATGAGAGGAGGCTGTCGCACTCTGCCAGCTGCAGACTCTAGCTTTGCCGAATTTGCACTTTGTGCATAAAATATACCCGACTTATTACACTGATGCCTGTCCAGGATGTGGTGTTATCCCCACAACTTTTCCCACCACCGTAGAGTGCACCGCAGCCTGCTTCCCTCCCCTCCTACCCTTTCTTCGGTCCACCCAAGCCCCGGAGCATTGGGAAGGCACCCTTCGTGACGGCACCCCCGAGGTCCATCAGGCGCTCGTTCTGCGGGCTTGGGCTGTTGCAGAGGTGTGTCCTGAAATAAGGACCCTCCCCATTTTCTTTGCATCTGAATGATAAAAACGTTTTTACCATCATCATCCAGCATAAATAAGGGTCCTGTCCTTATCTACATCTACACGGGAAATAAAAAGGAGCTATAATAGTTGGTGTATGAGCTGGTCAGACCAAGCCACTGACATACCACAACAGGCACAGGTGCCCACTGTGTACAACAGCCTAAAGTGATTTGGGCCAGACTTTTTTTTTTTTTTTTTCACAGTTTGTGAAGTCTGTACTACTTAGTTTATGAAGTGCCCCTCTGTACTAAACTTCATTCCATACTCACCATCAGGCTGTCTGGAGGGCAGTGTCTCCATGCTAGTGCTGTCCTGACTTGAGTCATTTGACGGAGGCGCTTGTTGAACAATCATCACGACTGCAGAAAAAAAAAAGGCCGATACTTTCACACTAGCAACCACTCATTCAAGATGTACCTATTCTTGCTCAGCAACCAACGTGAGCACATACTCAAGCCTCATTATAACAAAGTTGCATCTTACATTAAAATAAGTTCGTTACATCCAAACATTCTTCATAAAAGTATATTTCTAACACTATATTTATTGCAACATTAATCCACATTTGCTTCATTATAACCGCTTTTCGTTATACCAGGGTTAATTTATATATACGTTCGAATGTACCAAATAAGGCAAACACTGCAAACTTTTTACAGCAGGGCTTTATACGCCTAGGAGGTGTGAAAATCTGGCAGTCCATCAGTGCAGAGAAACTAAACTGGAGGGCGCTCGAGCTTCGCTTTCAAGATTCACGATACCGTAATCAAGCCCCGCACTCACTGCCTTTTCAAAAGCTAGTCGAGCTTTGTTTCTCAGTGCATGCCCGAACTGTGCCATAAGACTGTGACTGTAACATTGGCCATTTCAAGCTATCCTGGAATGCCTACTACAAATGCAGTTGTTAAGAAGCCACTACGCCATAATATTTCCTTTTGTGAGTGAGCAAAGGGCCTATTATGCATCTGTAAGGCAATGCACAGACCTACGCAGCTCCTCACTTTGTCGATTCTTTTGCGGCTGATGATGATTAAATATGTTGGGGTGCTTTGTAATGAGTGGGCCTTTAAAACACCAACTTGTGGTGCAATTCACAACGTTTGATGCCTGGCATGATGCCACACTTCTGCCATGCGCTATTACATGCATTAAGGAGACTCCTTGCATCATATGACATTCAGATAAGGTTTTTTTAACACGAAAGTGGTTTATGCCGTGGTCTACCAAGATTTCAGTGATGTACTTTCACCACGAAAATGATGTTTAAAAAATAACACGATTAGAAGACAAGAAAAAGTTCCGTCAGCGAGAATGGACCCCTTGGTCAGCGACAACAGCTGCCGGGCACGCTATCCACTGCGCCGCAGCCGCATGTTTTGTAAGCTATAAAAACACGCATTACATATTTAACCACTGCCCTCTCACAGTAATCTTGGTAAAGTGTAACAACGCATCATGACCGTGAAATCCCCCATCAGTTCCTTCAACGAGTCATTTATATGCGTCCATCCTATTCGACGCATTTTCAATAGGAGAAGCGGAATTTCGTCAATGCCTTAAGACACTGCCAAGTGGTGTTCTTACTCTAAGTGTCAGTGTGGCTCATAGCATCCATCCATACAAACAATAGTTCAACGCATAGAGCAACGCGCCTGAGTCGCCTGAATGTAACTCCAGTTGCTTTAGCGTTCCCTGCTTACGCTCGCCACACGAAAAATCGAGGCCAGACAACAGAGAAGACACAAGACGCATTGCATTTCTGTTAATTGGGCAGGGGCGTTCAATGACTCTACGATTGCACGATCACGCACCTTTAGCCAAAGTTTGGCATACAATCAGTCATGCTATTCATCTTCAGGCTGTCACACCACGTCCTTTCGTTCCACTCTCACCGTTAACTACTACTGCTTCCCAGATACCCAGATACTAAAATTCCCAGCTACGCAGATGGAATTGAACAGCGAAAGCAGAGTCATAAGTGTATTGGTATGAAGGTAATAATGACAATAATATCTAGGATTTTACTTCCCAAAACCACAAAATCATTATGAGACATGCGGCTGTGGAGTGCTTCGTAAATATTCACCATCTGGTGTTCTTACATTCGCTGACATTGCACAATACACTGGCCTCTACCATTTTGCCTCCATCAAAATGCAACCGCCACGGCCAAGATTAAACCCACAACCTTCAAGTCAGCAGCCAAGCACCGTAACTAAGCCACTACAGAGGACTTGGTATGAAGGTATTTTAAGATTTTATAAGTTATGCGGTCCAGCCCAGGACCGCGTATATACAACTTCTGCGAGCTGCGTGATGTTCAGCTATACCAAACACACCGTTCTAGCGCTCGCATGCATTACATCTCAGCTGCAAACCAGTTTAGATCACATTAGGCAGTTCAATAGGTTCGAATATCATAATTTATCACTAGCTCAACCTGTAGGATCCCCTTTGCACCAAACACGGCTGACCTTTGTACAACTATGTGTGGGAGAAAGACAAAAGTCCATTTTTCTCAAGCATGTGGTGATGCTCTTACCAAACGTCCGCTTAAGCGGCTGAAACTACTAGGCACATAAAAGTACCTACGGACTTGCAAATCATACTGCCACGAAATGACAAGCATAAGAAGGTAAGAAAACTTTCAGGTGGGAAAGAAAGCTGGGGTACCTTTGTGCTTACTTTGATTACTGGAATCTCCACTTTGGAGACTCTGTCCGCCGGGGGAGCGGAATCCTCGGCGAACAGAGTCTTCAAAGAGCCTTGTCAAGCTTTCTATGGGCAGGTGATGGTCATGGTGCCCTAAGAAGCCAAAAAACATGGTCTTCCCTAGCAAATATATACCACATTTGGTATACAAAGAATAATTCATGGCAGTTCAAAAAAAGCTGTCCTAAACTTGCATCCACAAACAACAAATGGTGCATGGCATGTAAAAAAGACGTAGACGGCATACAATCTTGTGTAACAGTACCTCATACATTCCTTCAAAGATGACATGATTGATTCATAAACATCGCCAGAACTGCGAACTTATTTGCCGCTAATCGCTCCGACTGATGGCTCACCACAGCTAGAAGAACCACGTAAATAAACAAGAAGAGGCCTTTTGGGTTTAGGATGCTTGTCGCAAGTTAATTAAGAGTACAAATAACAAAGGCGTACAAAATATGTTCCAAACACACAAACTGAATAAGGAAATGACCTAATCAGTGATGAACAAGAAATGCAAATGAGAGCACAAAAGGCAGGAACTGAAGAAAAAGCAAAAGCAAAAAGAAAAATGTGCCCGAGGCCACACTCATAAGAATTATTTTCTTTCAGTTTTACAGTTTTATTTTTGTACACCTTTCTCAGGGGCCATTCTCAACAACAACAATAGCATGTTCTGACATTGGCTAGCATTTGACAAAAATTAAAAAAACTGCCTCATAAAGCAAAAGGTTAAACAAAAAAATGTAATATTACTGCAAAAGTTTAAGCGGAACGTAACGCCAGAATTGGCATTTAACCGGTTTGTCAGGCTCGTGCAAACTTGTGCCATGAATTAATGTCAGATAATAGCTGAAATTCGACAACGCCAACAAGGTCATCTTACATACTTAAAAACATGGGTCGCTAGTAATATGTTTGACGGTATCGATCGGTTTATACACGTGATAGCAATATCGTTATAAAAGCACACATAAGCAAACGCAGGGCGAGCCTGACATATCGGACTCAATGTAATGTTCTTAATCCTCACAAAACGCTACATTTCGAAAATTGCAGGCTAGCACTACAAAGTTTATCATCGCTCTGTGTTATAACTGGCACAGTCCAGAGACACAAAAGGTGAGGATCTTGCCGGACTCCTGGGAAATGTAGGGCAGGTAGTGGCGGATACCTTGGAGAGAAAAAAAGAGATATTATGACAGCACCAGACAAGTGTTCAAGAATGTTGTGGCCACACAGCTTCTTCCTAGAAGAGACACAGCCACAGGAAAGCAACAAAAACCTCTGCACTAACAGAGATGACAACAACACAATAAAGACGACTTATGCCACATAAGCAATTTGCTTTAGGCAGCTTGGGTGAGTTTCACTTACGAAATGATGCCAAGTGTGAGAAAAGTGGAAGCTAAGGTCACCACTATGTAAAAAATGCACTACTGTATCGGTTTAACGCTGTTAAAAATTTTTATTTTCAATGACACAAAATTGCACAAAAAAGCTGACCAGTAACCACATCAACTTCATTCAAATAATGTTATGACTCAGCTGCTCTACAGCATCTTTATTTAACAGCCTGTAAGTTATTGCAAACCTAAAACACCTGATACAAGCAACTCAAGGTGTTCAATAATAATAATAATAATAATAATAATAATAATAATAATAATAATAATAATAATAATAATAATAATAATAATAATAATAATAATAATAATAATAATAATAATATTATTATTATTATTATTATTATTATTATTATTATTATTATTATTATTATTATTATTATTATTATTATTATTAGTGGGGTCACACAGTTTCATACAGTAATACCTAGGGAGGAATCTGGCACTGCTATCGTGTACCCTCATGGGAATTATGGGAACTACAGGCTTCAGATTGGATTGCGTTAGCCAGTAAACTATCTACGGATCTTTTGCTACAGTTTCAGTTTAATTCTTTGTGTAGAGTGGGTAGTACGGTGGGTGCAGATGGCTTAATCTGCGCCCTTGTTGTTCAAAGAAGCTGGAAACTGCTAGGCCTCTCAATTTACTGCAACGCTGGAGCTGTATAAGTCGTGTTTGACAGTTTAAGCGAAGCGTCGTCCACTCATCGCAGCGCATAGATGGAGCGTTCCATGCCAGTGCAAAGTATTACGTCGAGTTCACGTTTGTTGTGAGTGCGTCTAGCCAAAACTCGTTGAAATCAACTGCAAAACGACAGGGACACAAAGTAGACGCATCGTCACGCTTTTCTGATTTGACTTCCCAACAAAATGAGAGGTGCGTTGAGTGCAGACCACTTGAACATATGCACCTGGCATCGCAGCAGACAGAACGTTAAGTGTTCCTCACTTAATACTGTGCTGTTATTTCTCTAGATAGATGTTGCGCACCTTTGAGGGCAAAACAAAAATGTTTAGTTTTAATGGTTGTAAAGACTAATTTATTAAATTTTTATGCCAAATCTGAAACACAATGGAAGAGCAATGCAAACTCTGGTGGTTAAATTTGTCCAGGTTTCACTTCGACTGCCTAGTCACACGAAGCTTCTGCAATAAAGTTTGCGTACAAAAGAATGAAGCAAGTTTCAATCAGACACAACACTATATCACCTTGTTTTACACTCAGCAAACAAGCGTCGCGGATCTCAAAAACGCGATCTATCCGAAGCAGATTCGAAGCCTGTACTTCCCATAATTCCTATGGGGTTACAAGCACCGCTGAAGGAGCCCACGTAGACACTGGCGCCAGATTCCCCTCTAGGTATTATTGTATGAAACTCTATTATTGGGGTTTAATGTCCTAAACCTCGATATAATTATGAGACACCGTAGTGGTGGCTCTGCAAATTTTGATAACCTGGGGCTTTTTAACATATACCTAAATCTAAGTACACAAGCATCAATAATCTTTACAGCCTTCAAAAATGTGTTTACCATGGCCGACTTCAATCAAACAAGCAGCCGAGTGGCTTAACCACTACACCACCGTGGCGGTTCCAAGGTGTTTCAATACTATATGCATCCAATAGAAAGACAGGATAATCAGAACAAATGATTGTTCATAGATAGCCTAGTATGACATTATAGTTTGATTAGTAAAACAGGCAACTTATATGGTGCCAGAACACATGTGTTTCATAAAAAGTTTCATTGTGACGAGCCAACATTATTGTTATAATTAGAAAAGCTCTGTTACTGTGTAGCTTAGCCTTGGTGAAGTGAGCTTCAAGTGTCAAGTTCATATGACAGCAAATAATAAATAACTCACAGGCACGAAATGATTAATAGGATAGGGAAGGGTGCCTCAGACTGGCGTCAGTTTAAAAAGACAGATCATGCCTGTCTTTAACGAGGCGACCGAGTCATCATTGGCCGAGGAGAAGGATGACAGCGACAGCAAGCTCACTGCACGAAGACTAACACGCACGACGTACACATTGAGTGAAGACGAATAAAAGTGACACCAAACAACTATTTTTTGTGGTGCCTATTTTTTAGCGCGAAATAAATCTTATCCGACAGTGAGTCTGATCCCAGAATATTGAAGTTTTTCTACCTGCAGCAAATGTAAAGTCGTATGCTCACATGCTGCGAACAGTTCGTGTTCGAGAGCAGTGTTCATGTTAAAGGCGGTAGTTTGATGAGCATGCATGCACTTTGTGCGCATGCGCCATGGCTCGACTTGGTCCACTGGCAGCCGCGACGGCAGGGCCGTTTTTCATTGTGCCGTTCCTTTTACTTCGTAAGCAGCACAGAATTGAGTGGGGCTGGATAATAATATACATACTCTAATTTTGAGACTGGCATGCTTAACAGCAGCAGACTACGTGACCACATTCAGCAAAGCGATCGACTCCATATTCCATAATCGCCAGCTTCAAGGCTGCGCAACGAAACAGTTCCTTGATAAATTGAAGCATGGCTTAAAATATGAATCCTACTCACAACGCGAAGTGAATGCAGAAATATGTCACTATATTTCATGCTCTTTTTATTTCTACTACTATCTAACTGCACGTTCTGGCCAGTTGTCGGTCCCTTCAAAGGGCTCCTAAACAGGCCGTGTTCAGCGACAGTAGTTTTTTTCTCACCTTCACTATCCTTCCCACGAGAACTTATCCTTCTTGTAACTTATTTCCTCATAAGACATGTGTGATGTCAGCATATGCATTTAGACGGTCAAGATTTTGCACTTTTCAACTACACGATGCTATCATAACGCAAGTCATAATCTACATTCATGACTTGCACAGTCATGAATGTAGCAAACAAAGTGAAATAGGTTTATCGCGCACGACAGGCATGCGAGACAAGAGAGAACGGGCTTGCGATTGCTTGGCGAAACAAGGTAGGTGACCATTCGCAACAGATATCTCTGGTATGTTGAACGATCGAGAGCTTGTTTCATCCTTATGTCAATTGAGCAATCTGATGACGTCACGAATTTCGCCATAGACTAGAAACGCCAGGCGAGAGGAACGCGCTTGTTGTTGGTATTTTCAGAGGTTATTTAGGGGCCCTTTTAATAGAGTGGTTTCTGCAAGCGCCAATTTAAAGCAACAAATGATGCGAATAAAAAAATTTTAACAGGGAAAAAAATTGTTTGAAAGTGAAAATGTTTATTTTCCATCTTTAGAAAGTACAGATGTGGGCATTATAGAAAAAAAGCTGGCATCAGATGGCTTGACTAGCCTGCGACACTTTGATATTAGTATTTGACAGTGAGGCAATATTATGTATTAACATTTATATACATACTGTACACTTATGCATAATTATACAAGCGCAAAGTCGCATACATACATACATATTGGGGCTACCACATATATAAATTCTACAGCAAATAATAAAAGATTGTCCACATACATTCATCAATATCAAGTGCTTGAAAGAACTACACAGCTGAAGGAATGAGGTAAGAGCTACAGGCTTTCAATCAGCACAAACTAAACCCAACAAGTGAACTTAGTGCATTAAAGGATAATGACACAGAATTCCCATTCTATGTAAACAAGCATAACATAACACCAGCCAACACACCTTCATTAAGATGAATGTTCAAAGTGCCTTGTTAACATAGTCGTTCCAGTAATTTTCAACAACCATATAAAAGCCGCTCAAATCATAGTTATGCAACCCTATCAAAGG